AAAACCCTTTCCTTGTGGGACAACTGTAGCATAGGACCACTTCACTCTACTGCCCTCCCTCCCTCCCTCCCTCTTTCTCACACATATCCTGCCATTTTTTCACAAGCAGTTCAGAGTAATAAATAAAATTGTCAGGATTGTGTAATTCTCTACTTCATCTCTCAGCCTCTGTCAAGTCTCTGCAGGTTCTCTTTTGCCTGAGACAGGGACTCTTACTGGAATGTGCCACATCCCTAGCAAGCACTGTAACACTTTTCCCACCTAAAACAGCACCATTTTGTGTACCTAAAAGTGTGTGTGTGTGTTTGTGTGTTCAGATCATCCTTAAAGCCCCAATTAGTTCAGCACAGGACAGCTCCATCTATATTTTTTGTCCTCCAAAAGCTAAGACTACTCCATCATTTCAGGATTTCTTTTCCTCATTTTAAAAATATTATTATTCTAATTCAATACTGCACTATTAAATTTTGCTCTCTCAGAAACTTGGGCTAGCACAATTTTAAAGCAAAGCAAGAATGTAAGTACAGTGGTACCTCGGATTACAGACGCTTCAGGTTACAGAACTTCAGGTACAACCACTAACCCAGAAATAGTACCTCGGGTTAAGAACTTTGCTTCAGGATGAGATCTGAAATCATGCGGTGGCAATGGGAGGCCCCATTAGCTAAAGTGGTACCTGAGGTCAAGGACAGTTTCAGGTTTAGAACGGACCTCCGGAATGAATTAAGTTCTTAACCAGAGGTACCACTGTTTGCTTGTAATGAACTGTACTCCCTGTAGGAAGGTTATATTCGACACTGCTGCAAGAAACAAAGAAGTAAACTGTTCTACAGCAGGTAAACTGCCCCCTCCATTTTCTCCTAAAAATGTTTCTTGGATTGAGGCTATATAGACGGAATGCCAAAATATTGTAACTGAATTATAACCCACTCCCTTCAAGGGTAATGTGTCTCTTAATTTCAATCTGATTTTTTCCTTGTGGTTTGAATCTAGCTGCAATGTCAGATAAAAACACATTTAGCAAATAAAGTATCTGCATTTCTGGATTACAATCACAGGCAATCTGCAAGAGAGAGCTCATGCAGAGTCATAAGAAGTCAACCTCCCCAGCTTTTGTGAAAAGAAAGCCAAAATAATTTCCAAATAGTTTTTTTGGCTTCCAGAAATATGAGGTGTTCATAGATATCATCTGGCTGGTGAAAAATAAAACATCCCAAGCACTCTGAGAATATTTCAAGCTAGGAACCTTACCTGTGAAGAGGAAAGATGCCATTCCTAAAGCCCCAAAGTAAGGCATAATGATAGAAAGGCTAATTTTATAGTTGCTTTGATATTGGCTAGAAGTCAAATGCTTGAAACTCATGAGTAAGTTCCATGAGTTTGTATGTCGCCTGAGGACATACAGTGTCATTCGTTCAAGTTTCTGCTAGTCATTATAATAAGTTTCAAACAGAATTATTGCCTTCCCATTCACATACCAGAATTCAGTAATAATTCTCATTAGTTATTTTCCTCTATTTTTTTACAGTAAGTTTCCCAGTTGTGGAATTCCCTCCCCTCTGAAGTATGGCTGAATGAATTTTAATCTACATATCAGGTGCTTAACGTGTGCTAATGTCTGAGCCTGATATTTTGTTTTCTGTTCCTAGGTGTAATATGGTGTATAATATACAATGTATTGGGGTGAAATTACCATTGGGAATTCAGGTACAGAGGCTCAGACCAAATTCCAAATCAGTCAAACTTTTTTTAGTACTGCATTACTGGACAGTTGAAAGAGCTTCCAACAGCATTTCAGTTATGACACATGCTATGCAGGAAATATAGGGCATCTTAGCTGTTCGTTCTTCAACCAATCACCTTCTGCAATCCCAGTGCCTCACTGTTTCCCCTCCAACTACAGACCCTGAAATGCAACTTAATCTATTGTTCCCTGCAGGAACCAGAATCCTCATTGTACTTCATATGGGGTTGTTTTTCACTTTAATATTCAGCTGTTAGGTTCCCCCTTAACGATTTCTTACCAGTTTTGTGGTCAGCTTTCACTCTTGCCTATGTGACATTGGCTCCCCCCCAAAAAATAATTCCTACGCAGCCCCTTCAAAGGGCAGCTGACCAAAATGGCCCATGCTGAATAGGGAGGGAGGGTGCAGCAAAAGTATACAGGAAAGTTTGGTGAGAAGGAGGCAAATAAATGGCCTGGCTGACTGCTCTCCTGCATTGGCCAAACTGCCCCATGGTCAACCCCTTTACTTCTCCCACAGGCAAAACCAAGTGTAGCCTCCTTTCCAGGGGAGCTGGGATGTGGCAAAGGCACACCCATTTTAAATGGGAGGAGGCACTGTAGTTTAGTGGAAAGGTGAATAAGAGGGGATATGATAGACGGTTTGTTACCTGTTGTGTATTTCTGTGTTTTTATACTGTAAAACTCCTTGTGATCCTCAGATGAAGGGTGGTATAGAAAATAAATAAATACAAATAAATATGTTTATAAAAGTATGCATAGGGAAAGTGAATACAGTGGTACCTCGGGTTACATACGCTTCAGGTTACAGACTCCGCTAACCCAGAAATAGTGCTTCAGGTTAAGAACTTTGCTTCAGGATGAGAAGAGAAATTGTGGTCCGGCGGTGCAGCAGCAGCAGGAGGCCCCATTAGCTAAAGTGGTGCTTCAGGTTAAGAACAGTTTCAGGTTAAGAATGGACCTCCGGAAGGAATTAAGTACTTAACCCGAGGTACCACTGTAGATGAACCCCCTCTTCTTACACTAGAACTTGTGAACATCCAATGAAGCTTAATGGTGAAAGATTCGGGACAGATAATGTCACTCCCCACTACACGGCTCCAAAAGGAGTCCTGGCGGGTGCACCTTTGGGAGGAGAGTAGGGTGAGAAGTAGGGTGAGAAGCCCCTTCCTACTGATATCACTGGCATTTCCAGTAGACAGGAGGAGTGAGGAGTAGCACGCAGAGGCTACAAAGGGCTTCCCAACCCTCTCCTCCTCCTCCTTCTCGAGATGCTGATGTGGCAAGGAGGTGTGCAGCGAGGAACCAGCACTGGAAGGCCTTGAATAGGAGGCTGTTGGCAGTGCTGCTGTCAAGGCGGAAGTGGGGAGCAGGGCAGCAATAACTCACAAGGTTTCAGTGAAACTCTATTCAATGAAACAAAAACAGCTCAGGCTTAGTGAACACAGCAATTCTTCCCAGCTGGTCCTACTCCAATGTTGCAATTGTGAGGGCTGACGGTCCCTGCCTTCCTACAGCTCTCTATGTCTCCTCCTCCTCTGGGTCCTTTCCAAGCAACCTGGGACTTCTTTGACTTTGTGCTCTGTCCTCTTCAAACCCCTGCAGGATCTGGGAGACCAAGGGGGTGGGGAGCTGGTCACAGTATGAAGAGGAGACCCCCTGGCTTCTTCAGCAGCCTCCCTCACCTCTGAATTTTGCCCCTCCTCCTCTCCAGCCTCCACTTCTACCTTTGATTCTGGACGGCTCTCTGCCTTAGTCTCTTCCTGCTCACTAAACCCTGTTACCGCTTCAGCTTCTGACACCACCTCCCTCCAGTTTGTTCCTTCTTCTTCTTCTGAACACTGATTGTCCTCCCACCACCAATCCCCTGGCTCTGAGTGAGTTCCCTTGTGAGTTCCCTTTGAGGTCCCCCAGCTGGTGCCTCTCACCACACCTTTGCACCCAGCCAGTCCATGACAGGTGGCAGCATCAGTGGCCTGAGGTGGCTCAGAGTAGTTTATGGGACATATGGAGGGACATGTCAGGGTTGTGGCAGAGAAGTGGGCTCAGCAGAGCCTGAATGCGTTGGAGATGGCAGGGCAGTTGAGATTCTCAGGACAGAGGAAGCAGTGGTCTCAACCCTCACCAATTTGGATCATGGCCCAGTAAGATTCCAGGAGGAACCTTATTGGAGTATCAGAGGTCCATAACACAGGGTCCGTTTCTTACTCCTCCCATGCCAGCCTTGCATATTCCCACTGTTTTGTGATTCTAAAGAAAGCAATCGAGGCAATGCATCATCTGATGTTTCCCAAAGAGGAGTTGATCAATGACCCAGAACATCTGTGCCCAGTACATTATGCATCCTTCAATAGATACATAGCAGAAATAAGTAATTGCACAATATTCAGCTTATTTTACAAAGAAACAAGAAATACAATCAAAAACAGCATGAAGATAAGAAAACATAACATTTTTATAAAGCTCACAATACAATTTGTGGTTCCACATTCTCCTAAATTTTGTTACTCCAGCAAATAATAAGAGGATTCTGCATGTCTATCTTCTCTTACTCTTCTAATGTTCATCAGGTCAGCCACCTGAACATTCTCCCAAATGTTTGTGATTTGTTTCCTCTAATGCTAACAAATTGTCAATCAAGCAATAGTTGGTGTGTAATAATTTCTCTATCATCTGACAGAATATGGCCCTTATGTAGCCTAAAAGCCCTATCACTGGTAGGGCATATCATGAAATATACTGTTAAAATGAAATATATCAATTGCAAAAGGCACTATACCTTACTTCTACACAGTAGCTTGATAACATGGGCATTGTGTTAGAAAGCATTAAGGTAGCTTAAAAAGGTAAAGGTACCCCTGCCCGTACGGGCCAGTCTTGACAGACTCTAGGGTTGTGCGCCCATCTCACTCAAGAGGCCGGGGGCCAGCGCTGTCCAGAGACACTTCCGGGTCACGTGGCCAGCGTGACAAGCTGCATCTGGCAAGCCAGCGCAGCACACGGAAACGCTGTTTACCTTCCCGCTAGAAAGCGGTCCCTATTTATCTACTTGCACCCGGGGGTGCTTTCGAACTGCTAGGTTGGCAGGCGCTGGGACTGAGCAACGGGAGCGCACCCCGCCGCGGGGATTCGAACCGCCGACCTTCTGATCGGCAAGTCCTAGGCGCTGAGGCTTTTACCCACAGCGCCACCCGCGTCCCTTATGTACATACTAAACCTTGCTATATCTTTCTTTAGTGTAAAGAAAATGTCATTTTTACTTGAAGAATGTTGCCTTCTCTATGGTCCTACCAAAAGCATCTTTCACATCTTTGTTCCTCAGGCTATAGATAAGTGGGTTAAGGAAGGAGATCATAAGACTATAGAACACAGAAACTATTTTATCCTGATCTATTGAGAAAGTAGAACCAGGCCGTATATACATGAAGATAATGGTTCCAAAGAAGATAGTGACAGTGGTCAAGTGGGAAGCACAAGTGGAGAAGGCTTTGTATCTGCCCTGAGCAGAGCTGATCCTCAGGATGGCAAAAAGAATAGCGATGTAAGAGACCAAGACAATGAGAAAAGTTGTCAGCCCAATTATAGTGGATAAAATGAAATGCACAGTGTGAGTGACATGGGTGTCTGAACAGGATAACTTAAGTATTGGGGGAACATCACAGAAAAAATGATTAATGATATTTGAACTGCAGAAGGACAAAGTAAAAATAAAAGAAGTCTGGAGAATTGAACTTGTAAGTCCACAAGCATATGCAACCACCACCAATATGGTACAATGCTTCCTTGACATAATAGCAAAATAGAGCAGTGGGTTGCAGATGGCTGTGAAGCGATCGTACGCCATCACAGCAAGAAGGCAACCTTCTGTGGTTATGAAGACGGCAAAGATGAAAAATTGCACTGTGCATCCCTTGAAGGAAATGGTTGTCTTTTCTGCCAAAAATGTTGTCAGCATCTTGGGGGCAATGGCAGTTGAATAACCAATATCAATAATGGAGAGGTTTCTTAGGAAAAAGTACATTGGTGTCTGGAGCTGGGTATCCACACTGGTCACTATGATTATCCCAAGGTTGCCTATTATTGTGGCTACATAGATTATAAGGAAGAAGAGGAAGAGTGGGACTTGGAGGTCAGGGTGGACCATGAATCCTGCAAGGATGAATTCTGTTACAATGCTTTCATTTGGCTTCATTCTGTGTTGCTCTGCAAGAGAATTAAAAATAACATGGTAGTTGAACCTGGATGGCTACCAGGCTTCCTTAAAAATAAAATAAACCAGCACTACAAGATTCCTGTGGCCTTCCATCAGCACTAGCCAGCAGAGCCAATAGTCAGAGATAATGGGAGTTGGAGTCCAGTTACCTAGATTCTTGAATCTCAGGAGCTGCTATTTACACACTCAATTGGAATTAGTGGCAAAATTCCCTTCATTTTATAAAACAGGATTTTATCGACAGCAACATTTTAAAATATTTCACTGTGCAATAAATTAACTTTTATGCACACTTCATCTTTTCTTAAACACTATCAATAAAAGTTTCTACCAAAACTTACAATACCTCTTTTGATTTTGATAGACCACCTTTCTGTGCATATGAACTTGGGCTCTCAGCTGAAGCAGCCCAAAGCAAAAAAGAAAGAATAAAAAAAGAAAAAACAGCAACCCTCTATTCCACATTGAGTTCTAACAACTGAGGTGACTTGGTGCACTTGTTTGTATCACTGAATACTATCTGGTCTGCAGGAAGCATATTTATCTACACTAAGGCTATTTGGGTTAATCTACATCAGGTTTATGGGATTCTACATCTGTATTTTGGAACTGTTACATTTTGCAAGTAGGGTGCCAATGTATCAAGAAAACTAGGTGGAAAACAATCATACCATGGGCAATTTTTCCTTATGGTGGCCAAATTATTCTGTTGTTCAATGTCATATAGGCACTGTCTAATTAAATTATTTGCTTTGATGAAGCCCTGTGTTAATAACTATTGTAGCCATAAACCAGAGGAATAAAGCTTTTGGATGACAATTTTAGTCCAGGCACACTCATGACGGTCTTGCAATACTAGAGGCAGTAGACTGATGGGGGTTAAATTGAGCCAAAGCCAATCATTAAATATTCTATGCCAAATCTGTAATTCAACAGAGGGAAGACTACCCTCCAAGCACTGAACAGCTTCTGTAGATCCAAAGTTAGTACCTGTCCAAATCTGAGCCCCGCATAATAACTGTGCTAGGGGTTTACCTTTAAACTCTTCAAGTGCTGAAGGTATTTGATTGCTACCTTTTGTATGGAAAAGGCATGACACTTTGAAGAGCCTTTTTCTTTGCATATTTCTGATGTACTTGTTATATTCTGACAGTACTGCCCATGACCCTGTTGACTGAAAGACCAAGACCAAAAAGACCAAGATATTTAAAGATTTTGGACACAGCTACATTAGTAAAGAAATATGGATTTGAATGTGCTATAAACATGCTACACCAGACAGCGCCAAAGAGCAGGAAAACGTGATTTTCCAGATATTTATTTCTTCTGTTATAATGATCTAATTTCTGACTTACTTATAGTGTTTATCCCCCCTATGTCTAGATCCAGCCTTTAACTTGTTCAATGAGCTGATTATCCATATAGCACCTATGGGCCCTATTGTTTCTTGAAAACACCATGAGTTTGGTTTTATTGTAATGCACAACCAGCTGTTCTTTTTGGCAACATCCTGAGAGTGCCCTCATTTTAGGCCCACTTTTGTTTGAGACCGGAGTATCACGTCATCTGCATATAGTAATATAGAGATGGCTTTTTGGGGCAATTTAGGAACGGCTTTTATGTTTGCCCACTAAGATCTACCTTACTACTACATCAGGGGTATATGTAGAACCTATGTGGAAGAATTCCTGTTCAATTCACATGCCAAAATGCCTAAGTGAGTAGAGTGCAAGAAAACCCAAAACGAAGTTAGGTAATCTTACTCCTACCTGAATAGTGTGTACCAAAATTACATTTTTAAAAAGGGGTCAGGTGGAGAGAAATACTTTATTTCTGGAACTTGCCTTGCCTCTCTGTTGGAGAGTGTGGTCATTATTATTTACAAGCACTTTCTGACAAAATGTAATCTGTGGGCAGAGGAAGTCTACTAATGTGTCATCATCTTCTTGCACATGTTATAGGCAGTGGCGGAGCTTCATGCTCCAGCACTGCGGGGCGGAGAGCAGGCGGCAGTGGGGCTGGCGTGCATCCAGGGGGCGGGGCGCACCGCCCATACTCCTCTTCCTCCACCAGTGGTTACAGGTGTAATTTCTCTAGCATACATTTTCCTTGTAGTTGATGAGCACTACATAATGTCTCCTCCAACACCTAGCCTCTGCAAGCCTTCGTTCAGTTTTTGTAGAAAGCTCTTGTGCTGGCCATTGGTTCCCACTGGCTACTGTTATATTACTAGTGACCATTGCCACCACTTACTCGCCAAAACCAGCACCATTTTGTGCACCCAATAGCTGTTTTTTAATTTTTAAAACATCCTTCGAATGCTGACCACATCTTGCTATGCCACTGCAACAAGGGAGACCCCCCATCTAGCTTCCTCCATTCCCCACTAAGTTAAGGTTACCCCATCCTTTCTTATTGTTTGCCCTTTAAAACAAGAATGGACTATTCAAATCTTGCTCTGCCTACAACTTGGGTCAACAGAATCTAAAAGCAAGGCAGAATTGAGTTTATGTTCTGCAGTATGCTATTCCCCCTGGTGTCCCCCATATTCATTTGTGAGGCTACTGTGGCAAATAAAGAAGTAAATTTCGCTGCAGGAGGAAAGCTGTCTTCCATTTGCTCATAAACATGTCTGTTGGACTGAGGCGATAAAGAGAGGATGCAAAAATATTGTAACTGAGTGTTAACTCGTTCCCTTCAATGCCCAGATATGGTAATGTGTCTCTTAAATTCAATCTGATTTTTTCCCCTTTGGAGTTGAAGCCAACTGCAGTGCCAGATAAAAAACATTAAGCAAATGAACTGCTTATCTGATGATTTTAAATTTCCATTTCTGGATTTCTTATTGCAATCACACACAACTTGCAGGAAAGATCTTGTGCAGCGTCATAAGAAGTCAACCTCCCCAACTTCTGTGAAAATAAACCAAAATAAAATCCTTTTTTTTTTTTTGGCTTCCAGAGAATTGAGCTGTTCATAGATATAATCTGGCTTCCAAGAATAAAATATCCCAAGATCACAGAGAATATAGCAAGCTAGGAGCCTTACCTGTGAAGAGGACAGATGCCATTCCTAATGCCCCAAAGTAAGGCTTATTGATATAATGCCTAATTTATAGTAGTGGGGTTCCTGCAGAAGATAACGAATGAATTAGAAATAACCTTCCCTCAATGCACATGCAATATGCTGTGGCTATTAAATTTAATCTGTTTTTATCTCTTTGGGGTTGAAGCTGACTGTGAAGCCAGATGAAAACACTAGAGAAATAAATTTCTTAGCCAATCAATTTGAATCTGCGTTTCTGGAGATGTGTTTACGATAACAGGCAAAATGCAGGAGAGATCTCAGGCAGCATCATAAAGTGTGCCAACCCTCAAAACCAAAGAAATGAACAGAAAACCCAAAGAAGTTCCAGAAAATAAATTTGCTTCCAGAGAAATGCACTGTTGATAGATTCGACTACTGGGGCTGGGGGGAGAATTAACAAGAACTTTGTGAGTATATCTGGCTAGGAAATGTATCAAAAGGAACCTTACTTGTGAAGATAATCAGCGTCAATCTTAGAGCCCCAGAATAAGGCATGTTCAGAAAAATGCTCATTTTATAGTTGTTTTGGTATCACCTAGAAACCAATTTCCTGAAGGGCATGAATTAAAATACTCTCTGCATAATCACCCAAGGACATACAGCCTGGGAATTTCTTTTACTTTCTACTATTCTTCTTTAATTAGTTTCTAACAGAAGTTGTCCCTCTCCATTCAGCCCACAGTTCAGTAGGAATCTCCACTAGTTACTTTCCTCTATCTTGTTTTAGGGTACTGTCAGTTTGTTGCATATTCCCAAAGCTATTAACAATAACACCAGTTACCAATACCAACAAGGTCATTGGGACCAGCAGGACTGAAAGGGGCTTACAATCTTAAAACCAGAATTCAAAACAGTTCAAACAGATGACAGTAACCGGAAGAGGGTTTGCCCTGAAAGCACATGTTAAGATGTGCATCTTCAGTTTTCACTGAAAGTTGGGAGTGATGAAGAAAGATGCATCAATGGTATCAAAAGCTGAGGAAAGGTCAAGAAGGGTGAGCAAGGCAGCATTCCGCCAGACCCTCCAAGCGTCCCTATTTTCCAGGGACAGTCCTGGATTTAAAGAAGCCGTCCCAGATTTTATCCTGGAGTGTTCGCTTTTCCTCAGGACATCCCTATTTTCATTGGAGAAAAGTTGGAGCATATGTTCCCCCACCATCTCTCTTCCAACAAATGTCATGACAGGGTCTGAAGCCAGATTGAAATGGATCCAGATACCCTGTCTCCTTCAAGCATGCCTGAAGCTAGACTGGCAGCACCCTTTCAAACACATTGCCCCCAAAGGGGATATTAGATATTGGGCGATAGTTATCCAGCAATTCATGGGCCAGGAAGGACTTCTTAAGGAAGGGATGCACCCAATTTCAAGGAAGGTGACACTCTCCCCCCTCTCAGTGAAGCATCATTCAAGTCCTGGGCCCACCCAGTTAATCCCCAACAGCTAGCTTCAAGAAGCCAAGATGGGAAAAGTTCAAGAGGGAAAGTGGTTGGCCACATTTATTCAATGGCTTGACTACGTCCTCAGAGTGCAATAAAGGGAACTGATCCTGCACACATGGAACAAGCAGTGCACTCCACTGTAGTAGTATGGTTTTTAAAAGGGTAGGCTCTTGGGCGTGCACAGTCTACTGAGTAATATTCAAAATGTAAAGTGGGAGTCAGCAGTGGAAACAACTTGCTTTTGGAAACATGTTCATCACACACTGACGTGAAAGTGAGGATTGGTTGCGTCTCCCTGTTCAATGGAGTTTGAGTGGTCAACATGGGCTTACCCCTATTTGAAATATAAGAGGACCATTGGCACTGTCTGTTGTAGGAAATGTGACATTTATTCAAGTCCAGGCACTGCAGTTTGTATTTGGATTTATTATCCCGCTTTATCACTACCCGAAGGAGTCTCAAAACGGCTATCATTCTTCTTTCCCTTCCTCCCCCAAAACAAACAATCTGTGAGGTGAGTGAGGCTGAGAGACTTCAGAGAAGTGTGACTAGCCCAAGGTCACCCAGCAGCTGCATGTGGAGGAGTGGAGACGCAAACCCGGTTCCCCAGATTATGAGACAACCGCTCTTAACCACTACACCACACATGCACCATGAAGATCATTGATTGGTGTGTTATTGTTGCCTCAGCATATTACTTACCCACTGAAGCCGGTACCCAGACTCTGAACATGTATCCCACTCCCCATCCCAAACCAAAAATGTCTATGATAATAGTTTCAAGTCTGAGGATTGTTAACCAGGGCAGTGTCATAGGAAAAGGACCCTATAAAGTATGTTGCTCGCCATACGTTGCCCATACTGATGATGATGATGATGATATAATAATAATATGGACTCTGCAATAATGAATGAATGAATTGGATTGGGTTTATTATTCTGAACGTTAATGTCTCTGAGAAACAACCTTTCCCCCAATCAACCTTTTGAAAGCCTCTTTTACCTCCTTGTTTCTCAGACTGTAGATGACTGGATTCAACATAGGTATCGCAAGGGTGTAAAAGACAGAGATGATTTTGTCTTGCTCTATGGAATATTTTGAATTGGGTCGGACATACATGAAGGCTCCTGTTGCATAGAATATGGTGACAGCCATAAGGTGGGAGGCACAGGTGGAGAAGGCTTTATGTCTGCCCTCAGCTGAGTTGATCCGAAGGATGGCAATAAGTATGTATGTGTAAGAGATGGAAATGGCTAATATCGTTACCAGTACAATTACTGTTGAGAAGATGAAATGAATAATATCAATGACTGTTGTGTCCGAGCAAGATAGCTTTAGGATCGGGGGCACATCACAGAAGAAGTGGTTGATGATGTTGGAACTACAAAAGGACAAATTAAATATAATGGAAGTCTGGACAATTGCATTCACACAACCTGTTAGATAGGAGCCAGCCACAAGCAGATTACAGAGTTTTCTGGACATGATAGCAGTATACAGCAGTGGGTTGCAGATAGCAATGAAGCGATCGTATGCCATCACACCCAGCAGGCAGCACTCACAGGATACAGCAATGCAAAAGAAGAAAAACTGCAGGGCACAGCCAGTGAAGGAAATAGTTTTGCTTTTTACTATAAAGTTAATCAATGTCCTTGGGGCAATGACACTGGAGTAACCAACATCCAAGAGTGACAGGTTGCTGAGGAAAAAATACATGGGAGTATGGAGGCGGGAGTCAATCCTGATTAATGTTACCATGCCAATGTTCCCCAGCAGAATCAACAAGTAAATCATTAAGAATAGTATGAAGAGAATAAACTGCAGACTCTGATTATCTGTGAATCCCAGCAAAATAAATTCAGTAATTGTGGTGAAGTTTCCTTCTGACATTGTCACAAGTTGTATTCTCCTGTGTAAATAAAAATATGGGAGAAACGTTGAAATAGTATTAGCTCCACACTAACATTTAAGTGGCAAGGAACGGAGGTGTAGCATGATTTGCCAGTACCCAGGGCCACATGGGGATGGGGGGGGGGAGAAATGGAAATGGACAGAGTATGCATGCACATTCAGCTGCCTGACAGCATCTGCATCACTCAGGAGATCACAGCCACAGAGATAAGAAAAGAAGAGTCATTCCATTGTTGGGAGAGGTCACTTCCTTTTTCACATGAGGAAGCCATTTTCAAGGGAGCCTAGCGATGGAAGTGCACATCTGTATTGAAGCAGCACAGGGTGATGAAATTTTGCACCTCTAACAATTTTGCACCCAGGGCAACTGCCACTGTGGCCTTCCACACACTATGCCACTGGAGAGAAATGTCATCGAGTTGCTTAAGTTTTCCTCCTCCGATCAAAACATCCTAGATATAAGCTTCAGAAACCCCCAATTTTCTCAAAAAGAAGATATGAGCACTCCTGAATTCTTCTCTGGTTCTTGCCCCAAGGGTCCTGTATGTAAATTGGGATTCCTGCAGAAAGTGTATCTCCCCATTAATTTGAGAGGCTGATGTCTCAAAGAATGAAGTATTTTGCTCTGGAGTACATAAGGTGCCCTTCATTTTACATACAATATTTGCCCAAGCAATTGTTTGGTTTATTATTTTCATCTGGCATGGTTGCCTGCTTCAACCCACAGGAAAAAAAATCAGATTGAATTTAAGAGACACACCTCATTATGTAAGCAGTGAGAGGAGGGTGTTCTTGCTTCGTTACAGTATCTCCAGCAGTGATCCAGCAAACAGGTTTGTGCGCAAATGAAGGACACCAACATACTGCAGAGGAAATTCATTTTTATCTTCTGCAGCAACCTCACAACTATAAAATTAGCCATTCTATCAATAAGCCTTACTTTGGGGCTTTAGGAATGACATCTGTCCTCTTCACAGGTCAACCTCCTAGCTTGATTTATTCTCAGAGTGTTTGGGATATTTTATTTTTGACAGCCAGATGATATCTATGAACAGCTCAATTCTCTGGAAACAAAAACAAAACAAAACAAAAATCTGGAATTTATTTTGCCTTAGTTTCATAAAAGTTGGGGAGGTTGACTTCTGATGACACTACATGAGATCTTTCCTGCAAGTTGTGTGTGATTGTAATAAGAAATTCAGAAATGGAAATTTAAAATCATCAGATAAGCCGTTTATTTGCTTAATGTTTATTATCTGGCACTGCAGTTGGAGTCAACCAAAAAGGGGGAAAATCAGATTGAATTTAAGAAATACATTGCCATATCTGGGCATTGAAGGGAGCGAGTTAACACTCAGTTACAGTATTTTTTTATCTTCTCTTTATCATCTCAGTCCAACAGACATGTTTATGAGCAAATGAAAGACAGCTTTCCTCCTGCAGCGAAATTTACTTCTTTATTTGCCACAGTAGCCTCACAAATGAATATGGGGGACACCGGGGGAATAGCATACTGCAGAACATAAACTCAATTCTGCCTTGCTTTTGGATTCTGTTGACCCAAGTTGCAGGCAGAGCACGATGTGAATAGTGCATTCTCGTTTTAAAGGACAAACAATAGGAAAGGATGGGGTAACCTTAACTGAGGGGGGAATGGAGGAGGCTAGATGGGGGTCTCACTTGTTGCAGTGGCATAGCAAGATGTGGTCAGCATTCGAAGGATCTCCAGAAAATGGATATGCACTTGTAGGAAGCAGAGGAATTGTAAGCAAGAAATAACCTTCCCTCAATGCACATCTAATATGCTGTGGCTGTTAAATTTAATTTTTTTTACCCCGTATGGGTTGAAGCTGGCTGTGAAGCCCAATGAAAACACTCGAGAAATAAACTTCTTAGCCGATCAATTTGAATCTGCATTTCTGGAGATACGTTTCGATCACAGGCAACATGCAGGAGACATTTCATGCAGCATCATAAAGTGTGCCAACCCACAAACCCAAAGAAATGAACAGGAAGCCCAAAGAAGTTCCAGACATTAAATTTGCTTCCAGAGAAATGCCCTACTGATAAATTTGACTGCTGTTGTAAAATTCACACGAACTTTGTGAGTATATCTGGCTAGGAAATGTATCAAAAGGAACCTTACTTGTGAAGATGATCAATGTCGATCCTAGAGTCCCAGAATAAGGCATGTTCAGAAAAATGCTCATTTTATAGTTGTTTTGGGATCACCTAGAAACCAGATTCTTGAAACACATGAATTAAAATACTCTGTATGACATCTCTGCATAATCACCTGAGGACATACAGCCTGGGAATTTCTTTTACTTTCTGCTATGCATCTTTAATTAGTTTCTAACAGAAGTTCCCCCTCTCCATTCAGCCCACCATTCAGTAGGAATCTTCACTAGTTACTTTCCTCTATTTTGTTTTAGAGTACTGTCAGTTTGTTGCATATTCCCAAAGCTATTAACAATAACACCAGTTACCAATACCAACAAAATCATTGGGACCAGCAGGACTGAAGGGGGCTTACAATCTAAAAACCAGAATTCGAAACATTTGAAACAGATTATAGTAACCGGAAGAGGGTTTGCCCTGAAAGCACATGTTACGATGTGCTTCTTCAGTTTTCACTGAAAGCTGTGAGTGATGAAGACAGATGCATCTCTGTGAGGAGGGATTCCACAACTTAGGGGCTGCCAAAGAAATTTATCTCTCCTGGGTCACTGTCGCTTGACATTTTTAGGGAGGTGGAACTGCCAATAGAGCCTCCTCTGCTGATTTCAACACCCAAGAAGGTCTGAAGGATGCTGATGTTCAGATATTTGGGGGCTAAAAAGTAACACGAACCCCTTGAATCGGGCCTGGAAACAAACGAATGCAACTTTTTTTTGAAACAGGGGTTATATGTTATCTCAGTCGAACCCCAGCCAGTAGCCTGGCTTCTGCATTTTGAGCCAATTCAAGTTTCTAAGTCATCTTCAAGGACAGCCTCGTATATAGTTCATTGCATTAATCTAATTTAGAAGTCTGTTGTCTTTGTCCATGGAGTTTTTTTTGCAGGGATGCTGGAGTGGCTTGTCGGTTCCTGCTCCAGGTGGATCACATTTGGTCAAAACTCTCCACTATGACCTGTCCATCTTGGGTGCCCTGCTCGGCATAGTTCATAGCATCTCTGAGTTATTCAAGCCCCTTAGTCACGGCAAGGCAGTGATCCAGGAGTGCCTGGCGTGCTCTGGTCCATGGGGTCACAAAAAATCGGACATGACTAAACGGCTAAACAACAACAACAACAACAATCTAGAAGTCACTAGATATCACCATCAATGGTATCAAAGGCTGAGGAAAGGTCAAGAAAAGTGAGCAAGGCAGCTTTCCCACAGACCCTCCAAGTGTCCCTATTTTCTAGGGATGGTCCAGGATTTACAGAAGCAGTCCAAGTTTCATATATGATCCCAGAATGTCCGCTTTCCCGGATTTACAGAAGCAGTCCAAGTTTCAGATATGATCCCAGAATGTCCGCTTTCCCCCAGGTCATCCTTATTTTCATTGTAGAAATGTTGGAGCATATGTTCCCCCACCACCTCTCTTCCAACAAATGTCATGACAGGGTGAAATGGATCCTTCAAGCATGCCTGAAGCAAGACTGGCAGCACGCTTTCGAGCACCTTGCCTGCCAAGGGGATATTAGCTACTGGGCAATAGTTATCCAGCAGTTGCAGGTCTAGGGAGGTCTTCTTAAGGATGCACCACAGCCTCTTTCAAAGAAGGTCCCCTCTCTCAGTGAAGCATCATTGAAGTCCTGGGCCCACCCAGTCAATCCCCAACAGCTAGCTTCAAGAAGCCAAGATGGGAATTGGTCAAGAGGGAAAGTGGTTGGCCACACTTATTCAACAGCTTGACTACATTGCAATAAAGGAAACTGATCCTGCACACATGGAACAAGCAGTGAACTCCACTGTAGTAGTCTGGTTTTTAAAAGGGTAGCCTCTTGGGTGTGCACAGTTTGCTGAGTAATACTCAAAATGTAAAGTGGGAACAATGTGCTTTTGAAAACATGCTCATCACACACTGACATGAAAGTGAGGATTAGTTGTGGCTCCCTGTTCAATGGAATTTGAGTGGTCAACATGGGTTGACCCTTATCTGAAACATAAGAGAATTGGCACTGTCTGTTGTAGGAAATGTGACATTTATTCAAGTCCAAGCACTGCACCATGTAGATTATTGACTGGTGTGTTATAGTTGCCTCAGCAAATTACTTACCCACTGAAGGTGGAGCCTAGACTCTGATTAAGTATCCCACTCTCCACCCCCCCCAAAAAAATATTATGATGGTTGCCAGTCTTAGAATTGTTAATCAGGGCAGTGTCATAGGAATAGAATACTATAAGATATGTTAGTCATCATTTGTTGCCCATAGTGATGACGACAGCAACAACAACAACAACAAACACAACTCTGCAAATAGAATGAAGTAAGATATAGGATTGTATTTATTATTATGAAAATTAATATCTCTGAGAGACCACATATCGTTACCAATACAATTGCTGTTGCGAAGATGAAATGAATAATATCAATGACTGTTGTGTCCGAGCAAGACAGCTTTAGGATCGGGGGCACATCACAGAAGAAGTGGTTGATGATGTTGGAACTACAAAAGGACAAATTAAATATAATGGAAGTCTGGACAATTGCATTCACACAACCTGTTAGATAGGAGCCAGCCACAAGCAGATTACAGAGTTTTCTGGACATGATAGCAGTATACAGCAGTGGGTTGCAGATAGCAATGAAGCGGTCATATGCCATCACACCCAGCAGGCAGCACTCACAGGATACAGCAATGCAAAATAAGAAAAACTGCAGGGCACAGCCAGTGAAGGAAATAGTTTTGCTTTCTGCCACAAAGGTCATCAGTGTCCTGGGAGCAATGACAGTGGAGTAACCAATATCCAAGAGTGACAGGTTGCTGAGGAAAAAATACATGGGAGTGTGGAGGCGGGAGTCAATCCTGATTAATGTTACCATGCCGATGTTCCCCAGCAGAATCAACAAGTAAATCAATAAGAATAATATGAAGAGAATAAACTGCAGACTCTGGTTATCTGTGAATCCCAGCAAAATAAATTCAGTAATTGTGGTGAAGTTTCCTTCTGACATTGTCACAAGTTGTATTCTCCTGTGTAAATAAAAATATGAGAGAATAGCTGAAATAGTATTAGCTCCACACTAACATTTAAGTGGCAAGGAACGGTGGTGTAGCATGATTTGCCAGTACCCGGGGCCACATGGGGATGGGGGGGGGGGGAGAAAAATGGAAATGGACAGAGTATGCATGCACATTCAGCTGCCTGACAGCATCTGCATCACTCAGAAGATCACAGCCATAGAGATAAGAAAATAAGAGTCATTCCATTGTTGGGAGAGGTCACTTCCTTTTTCACATGGGGAAGCCATTTTCAAGGGAGCCCAGCGATGGATGTGGACAGCTGTATTGAAGCAGCACAGGGTGATGACATTTTGCACCTCTAACAATTTTGCACCCAGGGCAACTGCCACTGTGGCCTTCCACACATTATGCCGCTGGAGAGGAATGTCATCGAGTTGCTTAAGTTTTCCTCCTCCGATCAAAACATCCTAGATATAAGCTTCAGAAACTCCTAATTTTGTCAAAAAGAAGATATGAGCACTCCTGAATTCTTCTCTGGCTCTTCTTGAAAGTTCTGTATCTAAATTGGGATTCCTGCAGAAAGTGTATCTTCCCATTAATTTGAGAGGCTGATGTCTCAAAGAATAGTATTTTGCTCTGGAGTACATAAGGTGTCCTTCATTTGTACATGCAGTATTTGCCTGAGCAATGGTTTGGTTTATTATTTTCATCTAGCATGGTTGCCAGCTTCAACCCACAGGAAAAAAAATCAGACTGAATTTAAGAGACACACCTCATTATGTAAGCATTGAGGGGAGGGTGTTCTTGCTTCGTTACAGTATCTCCAGCAGTGATCCAGCAAACAGGTTTGTGCGCAAATGAAGGACACCAACATACTGCAGAGGAATTCATTTCTATCTTCTGCAGCAACCTCACAAGTATAAAATTAGCCATTCTATCAATAAACCTTACTTTGGGGCTTTAGGAATGACATCTGTCCTCTTCACAGGTCAACCTCCTAGCTTGATTTATTCTCAGAGTGTTTGGGATATTTTATTTTTGACAGCCGGATGATATCTATGAACAGCTCAATTCTCTGGGAGCAAAAAATAAAATAAATATGGAATTTATTTTGGCTTAGTTTCATAGAAGTTGGGGAGGTTATGATGCTGCATGAGATCTTTCCTGCAAGTTGTGTGTGATTGTAATAAGAAATTCAGAAATGGAAATTTAAAAACATCAGATAAGCAGTTTATTTGCTTAATTTTTTTTTATCTGGAACTGCAGTTGGATTCAACCAAAAAGGGGAAAAATCAAATTGAATTTAAGAAACCACTCAGTTACAGTATTTTTGCATTCTCTCTTTATCACCTCAGTCCAACAGACATGTTTATGAGCAAATGGAAGACAGCTTTCCTCCTGTGTGGTTGTTAAATTTAATCTTTTTTTACCCTGTATGGGTGGAAGGTGGCTGTGAAGCCCAATGAAAACACTAGAGAAATAAACTTCTTAGCCAATCAATTTGAATCTGCATTTCTGGAGATACCAGATAATAAAATTTGCTTCCAGAGAAATGCACTGTTGATAAATGTGACTGCTGCTGGTGGAGGGAGAATTGACAAGAACTTTGTGAGTATATCTGGCTAGGAAATGTATCATAAGGAACCTTACTTGTGAAGATGATCAATGTCGATCCTAGAGTCCCAGAATAAGGCATGTTTAGAAAATGCTCATTTTATAGTTGTTTGGGTATCACCTAGAAACCAATTTCCCGAAGGGCATGAATTAAAATACTCTCTGCATAATCACCTGAGGACATACAGCCTGGGAATTTCTTTTACTTTCTAATATTCATCTTTAATTAGTTTCTAACAGAAGTTCCCCCTCTCCATTCAGCCCACCATTCAGTAGGAATCTTCACTAGTTACTTTCCTCTATTTTGTTTTAGAGTACTGTCAGTTTGTTGCATATTCCCAAAGCTATTAACAATAACACCAGTTACCAATACCAACAAAATCATTGGGACCAGCAGGACTGAAAGGGGCTTACAATCTAAAAACCAGAATTCGAAACATTTGAAACAGATTATAGTAACGGAAGAGGGTTTGCCCTGAAAGCACATGTTAAGATGTGCTTCTTCAGTTTTCACTGAAAGCTGTGAGTGATGAAGACAGATGCATCTCTGTGGGGAAGGAATTCCACAACTTAGCGGCTGCCAAAGAAATTTATCTCTCCTGGGTCACTGTCACTTGACATTTTTAGGGAGGTGGAACTGCCAATAGAGCCTCCTCTGCTGATTTCAACACCCAAGAAGGTCTGTAGGATGCTGATGTTCAGATATTTGGGGGCTAAAAAGTAACATGAGCCCCTTGAATTGGGCCTGGAAACAAACCAATGTAACTTTTTTTGAAACAGGGGTTATATGTTATCTCAATTGTACCCCAGCCAGTAGCCTGGCTTCTGCATTTTGAGCCAATTCAAGTTTCTAAGTCATCTTCAAGGGCAGCCTCGTATATAGTTCATTGCATTAATCTAATCTAGAAGTCACTAGATATCACCATTAATGGTATCAAAGGCTAAGAAAAGGTCAATAAAAGTGAGCAAGGCAGCTTTCCCCCAGACCCAATTGCAATAAAGGAAATGGATCCTGCACACATGGAACAAGCAGTGCACTCCACTGTAGTAGTATGGTTTTTAAAAGGATAAGCTCTTAGGCGTGCACAGTTTGCTGAGTAATACTCAAAATGTAAAGTGAGAACCACATGCTTTTGAAAACATGCTCATCACACACTGACGTGAAAGTGAGGATTGGTTGCTGCTCCCTGTTCAATGGAGTTTGAGTGGTCAACATGGGTTGACCCTTATCTGAAATATAAGAGGACCATTGGCACTGTCTGTTGTAGGAAATGTGACATTTATTCAAGTCCAGGCACTGCACCATGTAGATCATTGATTGGCGTGATAGCGTTGCCTCATCATATTACTTACCCACTGAAGCTAGTGTCCAGACTCTGATCAAGTATCCACCTCTCTCCATCCCACACCCCAAAATTTCTGAACTATAATTGTTGCAAGTCTGAGGATTGTTAATCAGAGCAGTGTCATAGGAATAGCATCCTATATTGTTGGTCACCATTTGTTGCCCATAATGATGATGATCATATGGACTCTGCAATAATGAATGAATTTATAGGATTGGATTTATGAACTTTTGTGAACCTAGTGGACTGAGAGTCAGTCATGAATATCCTGTATGCACCTTTTTCGTACCCCATGAACAAACCATGTGCCCCATGCTTCCCAAGCTTGCTGCTCTGTGGGGTGTGTACCCACATGTCAGAACCAAAGATTCTCATATGCTTGACGTAAGGTTTCTTACCTAACATATTCTCATAGGGAGTACAACCAATAGGTGATGACAGTCTCCTGTTATAGGAATAAAGGAAACACAATAGAGCTTCAGCCCAATATTTCTCAGGGAGACTGGCATCATGCAACAAGGTTTTTAGGCCTTGCAGCAAAGTCTGGTTTGCCCGCTCGCAAAGTCCATTCTCCCATGGAGATCTAGGACTTGAGAGGTCGTGCTGGATTCCCTTCTCAGTCAGGAAAGCCTCAAACTGATGAGAAGTGAATTCACCGCCTTGATCAGAAAATAAACAGCCAATGTGTTTATTGTGAGCATTCTCCAACCAAGCAGAAAACGCCTTGAACTTAGGGAACGCTTCTGACTTCTGCTGGAGCATAAACACATGAATGTACCTGGAAAAAGAATCAATTAAAACCATGAAGTACCTTGCTCCACCCAAAGAGGGCGCAAGTGGACCAACCAGGTCTGCGTGGACTAGCTGATAGGGTTTGGAAGCCTGTCTGCTAGACACTTTGCCTTTCAGATCAACCTTCACCTTGTTTTCTGCACAAGATACACATTTAATTTGAAACTTACAGGGCTTAATGTTCAAACCCTGAACCAACCCAGGCATCTTGGCCAGTGCCTGCCAAGACATGTGACAAATTTTTCGGTGCGCCTCGTGAATACATCCTGCATGAAGAACTTTGTTAGTTTGTGCAACACAACAAGATTCAACATTAGACACATCAACAGCATTGTCATCATAAGTTATCAAGAACAAGCCATCTACAAACTTCGCATGCAAAATGTCCTCTTTGCCCTTCCTGATGACACAGACGCTCTTCTTGAAGGAAATCTCAAAGCCCTGCCCAGTCAGCTGTGGGACGCTGAGGAAATTGTCTGCAGAATCTGCAACAAAAAGTACTTCGCTGATGGTTGTGTGCAGACTTGCCAGTTTCACTGTCCCGACTCCTGCAACTCTCAACGTCTTTCCATCAGCCTGTTGGATCTCCCCATTTTGAGGCATGAAGGAAATAAACAGGTGACGATCCTTTCCTTATGTGCCTTGTCGCTCCAGAATCCACAATAAATCTGCCTTTGACTTTTGGAGAAGCATTGCCAGCAAACAAAGCCTTGTTTTTCACTGGCCTGGGTTTCCCACCCCCCTTCTGCTTCTAGCCACCTGCAGGCTTCTTCTTTTGTTTAGCTCCAGCCTTTGGGCAATATCTCTGAATATGGCCTTGGTTTCCACATTTCCAGCACTTCACAGCTGCCAATGCCTTGGCTCCCCCTGGAAGCTGGAATGCTGTCCCACACTGCTCCCCCTGAAGCACACAAGCTGGTTCAGCTGCATTCCTCCTATCATATTCCTTTTGCAAGGTCGCCGAAACTTTTGTAGCAGTGAGGTCCTGCGCAGGAAGAGTTGCTAGCTGGCTTGCCACAGCATGATAGCTCTCGTCCAGGGAGACCAGGATAAGGATTGCAAACAGAGACTCAGGCATATTAAAACCTCTATGAGTCAATTCCTGTCTGAGATGCTGCAAATGCAAAACGTGGGCTCCAAGGTCTTCCCCTGGCTCCAAATGCTTCCTGTGCAGCTTTTTGAAGTAAAGCAACACAGACCCAGCCTCTTGTCAGGGATGACAGGCCGGAAGCCCTTCC